TTGGGTTAGGTTGGTGTGAGTCTGGTTGTGGTTTTCTCGTATGTACGTGTTGTCCTTGTCGCGTGTACTTATCATGTGTTGGGTTGGGTTGGTGTGAGTCTGGTTGTGGTTTTCTCGTATGTACGTGTTGTCCTTGTCGCGTGTACTTATCATGTGTTGGGTTGGGTTGGTGTGAGTTTGGTTGTGGTTTGCTCGTATGTACGTGTTGTCCTTGTCGAGTGTATGTTTATAGTTATAGTATTTTGCGTTGGGTTGGGTTGGTGGCTATCGCAGGGGCTGAGCCTTCGAGGCGGGCATGATTTGTGTCGGAATCGCTTCCCTGTTGTCTATGTCGTATGTTCCTGTTCGGTATATATATCGTATTGTTCTGTTTCATATGTCGTATTTCGTCGAGTCTAGTCTATCTGTAAGTTCCGCTGAGTATGGCAGAGAACTTCAAGAACGTTCACGGAATGCAAAGTAAGTGGGTCACTGTTTATGCTGATGCGTTACTTAACGTATATATAGTAAATAAAACGAATCGCCACAGTTAATCTGCGCCACTAAGTCGAAGGACCGCTCTACTGGTCAAGAGTTTAGTACTCGATAAGTCGACTCCCTATTACCCAATAATGGCGCGCGCGCGCGCGCGTGTGTGTGTGTGTGTGTGTGTTAAACGATGTGGAAGCGACCCTAATCATGAACGAGTACATCGGTCAATACACAATAATTCTATTTATAGACTCAACGATTGACCAATCCATTTTACAGATGTCAGTCTTACGACGGCCGGCGCGCGCCCGGAATCGCGGCGCTGCGTTACGCCTTCCACGACGCAACGAACCTATATTTCGTACTGGACTATTATCCAGGAGGAGATCTGCTGTCCTTATTAGGCAAGCACGAGAACTTCAGAGAAGAAATGGCGCGCTTTTACATGGCCGAGATGGCGATTGTCATCAGCACAGTGCATCGCATGGGCTACATACACCGCGACATCAAGATAGAGAACTTTCTCCTGGATGCCAAGTACGTGCAGTGGGGGTGGTCTATATGAGACAATGCACAGATACATAACTTGATACTAGATGCTAAGCGAGGTTAAGGCGGGGTAGTAAATATGTGACACAAATATGTGACAATATACAGATACAGAACTTGCTACTGAATGCTAAGTGAGGTTAAGGCGGGGTAGTACATATGTGATTCAGATATGTGACAATGTACAGATACAGAACTTGCTACTGAATGCTAAGTTAGGTTAAGGCGGGGTAGTACATATGTGACAAAGATATGTGACAATGTACAGATACAGAACTTGCTACTGAATGCTAAGTTAGGTTAAGGCGGGGTAGTACATATGTGACAAAGATATGTGACAAAGCACAGAAATTGCTACTGAATGTTAAGTTAGATTTAGCTGGGAAGTACATATGTGACATAGATACAAGTGTTCTCTATGGAGGTGAAGAAGGGGTAGTTGGGCTGTTCCGCTAGATAGTGCCCATTCTATTGTATGTCAAGTGGGTTTAGTCGTGGTGCTTGGTCTGTGGCGAAATAGCGAATACACCACCAAAAGGCACATCCAACCGCGCAGATATACCCCCGTACAAGCATGAAACCCTAAAACCCTAAGACCATAAACCCTAAACACCACACACTCGTATCCGCACACTGACATACTTGCCCACACCAACACGCACAAACAACTACAGGGGTCACGTATATCTCACAGACTTTGGATCGGCTGTGAAGATGAGCAACGGAGGAACGTCTATGGCCTACATGACTGGAGGCACCGCCGAATACATCTCACCTGAGCTAGTCAAGATCATGCAGGGCGACAGTGTCCAGTATGGTCCAGGCGTCGACTGGTGGTCGCTCGGTATGGCCTTTACGATGTATATGCATATATAT